ACTGTGTGAAGTAGAGAGAACGAATCAAAGAAAGAAAGAAAGAAAGAGCATGGTGGAGGTAAATTTTCGTAAATGACCTATTTTCTGTTTTTCTAGTACTTTCGAAAACATATCCAACGTAATCAGAATTTGATTTAATAGAAATTTATTCTATTTATAAGAAAAAAAGAAAAACAAATGTAAAATTCACACTTGATTGATTATTTCGAATAACTTCACATTCTTCTTTACCAATTTTAACCCAATTAAAATATTTTTTACATAATTTTCCTTTAGATAAAAATAAAATTGTTTGATTTAATGATTCATTTGAATTTATGGATGATGAACAAGATGAGGAGGAGAAATTCATTATTTCTTCATTTCGATAATATTCAATGGAAGTTTTTCTTTTATTTTCTTTTTTTATTGATAAATTATTTCTAATTTCTTTTAATTTTTTAATTCGTTCATTATTCATCATTGTTCATGGAATATACTAATCAATAAAATTCACATCAAATAAATTAAAAACTTTATTTTACTTTAAATACAAATTGAATAAGATCTAAATGAATATGCGGATCAGCTTCTTCGAAAATATCAAAAAATTTCATTCCAGTTTTCATTTAATATTAATTGAACTAAATAATAATGACGTAATTCTACATTATATGGATCTTCATACTAATTAATTATATCAAATTAGATAGTTAGTATTAAAAAAAATTTACCAAACGACGCCTTAAGAAATTCATCATATTTGACAGGTTTCGGAATTTGAGCGAGTAAGGTTAGAGCTTCATTCATTCTTCTACAAACTGTCGCTTGCGTTTTTTGCAAAAAAATCCAAAATATCCTAAAAGTATATGGTTCATATTTTGCAAAAATATGCTCTAATCGAAATACTTTTCATCAAAATGATCAGCACAAAAAGCTCTATAAATTCTGAAAATTTTACTGGATTTGAACGAGACCCCGAATGGACCTGCGATCTCCCATGAACATACTCAATAAAGATGGAAAATATGATAAAGTGAACTAACAAAAAAGAAAAAATTGTCTATTATTCAGGATATTTACATGAAATCATCTGAGAACTAGTAGAGTGAGTTCATAATGGGGATGTACGAGACTAAGTTTTTAGTCCCGGTTCCAGTAAGTTTTATCATTTGATCCTGGTCTCTATCTCAATCTAGATGTAGAGAGAACTGTTTCAGAATTTACTCACATTAAATATAAAAAAATCTTAAATACTAATTTTTTTCGTTAATTCAGTCGACGAATGTCGAGTTTTGGTCGTCTCTTTTGAAGTTTGTTTTGATTGGCACGATTTATAACATATTTCACTAAAAATGCTTCCCATTAGGTTTTATAATTTGGTCCTGGTTTCGATAAAGTTATATTTTTTGGTCACGTACGTCTCTAATCCATAAAACACTATATGATGCTGTAGCATTACATTTACAATGAAAAATCCTTCTTTCAGAATTGTTTAAACAATTATGAAAACAATATTTTTCATTCTCACTGTATCCTTCATCTTTTAAATCTAACTTCAATTAAAAAAAATAAATAAACGATAATTTCTCATCATATTCGAACTGAATTTCAAAATGTTACCAATAATTACATTTCATATATGCAATATCAAGTTATTTTTTGTCTTAATTGTAAACTACTTCTCTTCAGGTCAAATTTTCGCTCGCAATTTTTAACAATACAAAATTATTTCAAAATATTTGAGCGCAAAAATAGAATCTTTAACCTAATTCGGTTTTTGACTTATTGAATAGCAAATAGCAAAATATCTCATATTTTTCTTAATTATCTTGTTATTAATATTCTACTTAAGAGAATTTATTCAGAATCAATAGAATATATAACTAGTGAAAGTCTTTATCTCACATTTTCTATCCTTCGAAACATTTTCAATTTTGACTTCCACAAATTTCTCGATTTTGATCAAGCCAATTATAGCCTATGCTTCTTATATTTTTATAATATTGATTTTTTCAGTTTAATTACATAAAATCAATGATAAATTTTGATTGAATTAGATCCTTGAGAGTTTATGAGTAGATTGCTAATCTCTAATTAATATATTTCATTTTAAAAATAATAATATGTGTTATAGGAAATATGTTACACAAGGAATCTTTTGTTTGACAAGACAATAATAAGTTGACCGATAGATCACTCAGAAACTAACGGAAAATATTAGACAGAATGAAAAATATCACCATCTATTCGACGGTCAAACGGACTGAACTAATTTACAGTGAGTTAAGAAATATAATTCATGTTTTTATCTAGAAATGCTAATTCTATTGGTTAGTTTATTTTCAATTAGTCTAGTCTGTTTCTTATGCTCATCATAGAACAACATGACGGCATCGAATATTTGTTCGTTATTATTCTTATAGGCGAAAGTAAGAAAATGCTGACATATACATATATATGTATATATATAGAATTGCTATGAAAACATTGTATGAGTTAGACATGAACAATTTAAGAGACAGTCCATGTATGGGTCGAAAAATCCAGTCATACAAAAAAAATTGACTCCCCTTTTTTATTATTGCAAACGAAAGAGCATGTAAAAAGACCCATAAATCCAAAATTTTAGCCTTCTCTGAAGCACTGTTATATAA